GGGAAAACATATGGACTAAAGGTATTAGATTCACTGCTAGTCAAGTATTAAGAGAACACTGGTACAGGATGTTTTATTGATGGTATGTCACCCCAAAAGATATTAAGATGGACAAGAACTATAAAGGGGCTTGCTGCAAATGTAAAAAAGAAGATGGCACCTTTTATCATATGTGGTGGACCTGCATCAAGATGGAAAGATACTGGAAAAACATACATGAAAAAATTCAAGATATTTTAAAAACTAAATTCCCGATGAAACCAGAGACTATGTTACTGGGAATCGTTCCAGATAACATAGACAGAACCTCACAAGACCTACTTCAATATATGTTGACAGCTGCCAGAATAATATTTGCAATGAAATGGAAGACAGAAGGCTGACCTACAATAGACATCTGAGAAGAAAAACTAGCTGAGTATGCACCATTGGTAAAATTAACCAATTATATAAACAAAAGACCATTGAATGAATTTCGGCAGAAATGGCAAGCTTGTTACTCATATTATGGGAATATATTTTTTTTCTATTTTAGTTCTGAATTATTTGAATATCACATTAAAGATGATGAAGATATTGATTATAATTTCAATAATTTTTTAATATTCCATTAGTATTTAAATGATCAGTAAGAATAAAATTCAGATTTAGATAAACAATATTTAGGTTTTTAGTATAGAAGTCCGTTTAACTGTTAAATATGTATTCTCTTTTATTGTTAATATATTCTTGTTAATTTTAGGAGAGTATTTGTTTATTCCTTAAAAAGAATCTAACCCAAAATTCTGTAAAATGGATGCTTTATTTTCTATATTTCAGTTATGTTATACATTTGATTTTACTTGTTGTACGTAACAATTCTCAATATTTAACAAACTTGTTGAATCTATATTTCCCCCCTCTCCCTCTTCCCTTCTGTACCCCACCTTTTTCCCCATGAAAAAATAATAAAACATATTTTTTTAAAAAATAAAAAATTAATGGACGTGAGCCATTCCCTCCCTCTCTTGGGGCATTCCCCAAGCCAGGCAACCTAAGAGGAGATATCTGTCAGAAGCGACCCTGGTCCTCAAAGTCTCCCCACACTCTCCACCCCAGGAAACCTCCCCCCCCAAAAAAACCCCTTAAAAATAAAAAATTAATGGATGTGAGCAATGTCGTTCCTCTCTTGGGATGTTCCCTGCACCAGTCACCCTGGTTGGTTATCACTGTACCATTTAAGGGTGGATGGGTCCATGAAGGGAGCACCACCCGTCCCCGTGTGGGTGTTGCCTGGGCCCCGGGCAATGCAGAGAGGTTGGCCCTGCCCAGAGTCATGTTGCTGGTGGGTGGAGGGCAGGCCCAGGGAGAGAGCACCGCCCGGCCCCCTGTAGGTTTTCCCCAGGCCCTGGCCAGAGTTGGAGGGTTAGCCCTGCCAGGTAATTGTGTTGCCAGTGGGTGGGCCTGGGGAGGAAATGCTGCCCGCCCCTGAAGACGGCTGGCCTCCAGCTTGACACCTTGACATTGTTGCTGGAGATCAGCACTCATTCTTGACAGTGGGGCTTGGGAGTCTTTCCACCACACAGAGAGTCTGGGTCATCGCCTGTTGTGTCCCTCTTGTGGGGGATAACTTGTAGGTGAGCTGCTTCCCTTTGGTCTAGGCCCAGAGGTCATTTCGGGGGGGATCGCGGGGGATCGCAGTTCCCCCGGGTGAGGTGCGGGGGCGGGGCACATGACAAAGCCCCGCCCCCTGCTTCCGGCCGCCCCGCTTCCGGCCCTCATTCAGCCAGGAGGAGGCAGGAGAAGAGGGAGGGTAAGTTGCTTCCTCCCTGCCTCTCCCCCCCCCTGCCTGCCT